TATTCATAAACTGAAGTAAAAATGTCGTTAGTTTTTCAAATATTTTTTTTAATTTAAGAACGCTGATAAATATTCATCAGATTAACTGTGAAAATCAAGCTAAAATATGGAGGATTATATGGAATGTAATTTAAAGCCTAATAAGCAAAACTCATTATTATTTTTTTTACTGTTTGAATTGCTATAAATGTAATTATGATCTGTTCTTATTTTAGTTGATTTAAAGTTTACCTTGACTTTCTCAGTTATACTGATGAATATTTATATGGGAAAACGATATATAATTTTTTTATATATATGTTGTGGTTTCCTCCCTCTAAATAGTCTATGTTGGACTCTGCATATATCTGCAACACTTGTTTTGTTATTTCTTTAACCATTTACTTCGTCACAACAATATATCAAGAACAATTTTAGGAAAAACTATGACAAAGTAGAAAAAGTTTTCGTTCTTTAGGATTTTATCAGACTAAAGTGATGCGCACGAACGAAAGGGACGCTGAGAATTTTTTTTCAATATATATTTTGGGTATATAGTCTAATTGATTTCCTTTAGTTTCATTTTATCATATTTCCATTACATTTTACAAAACAACAGATTAAACGCATTAGTAGATCACTTAAGAATCTGCCATAATTTTGATTTAAAAATGCTCTATTTAAAAGAGAAAGCAATTTTCTAAGACGAAAATGTATAGAAAGTGCTTTAATCGCTAGATTATCCACAGTAGATTTACGTCCATGTTCTTACATTTCACATTTCTTGAATAGTCTTCTATTATCATAATGTGGGATATATAATAACAAAAGTGACCTTATATCCTGGTTGGGAATAAATCTTTTTTCTAATTCGCTCGTTAGACTATGATGTTCGTATCCTGTTCGGAACGGCTTCTGTTTAGTTGTTCAAAATGTGATTTCATGGACTAGTGATTCTGAATAAACATATACTTTTAGAGATGGTGAAATTTTGGCCTAGTTATTATTTACTTATTTTTATTTAATTATTATATTAACTACGTTCACTCCCTCGGCAAGGTTTATTTACAAGATTATAAAAAGTTTATTTACCTTTTATAAAGATTTATTATTTTAAATACAGTAAAATCCCCCATATCATGAATCTCTCATATCCGGAATCCCTCATATCCGGAGTGCTTCATCTCAGGAATTCCGCATATTCGGACATGATATTAATGTATATATTTGAACTATTTGGATGATATGTAACTGATTTGAAATTTCTGTTTGTCAGGAAATTGACTTTGGATAATTGCTTATGCTTCTTTCACCCTAATGGCTTGTATTGGTGCAAAAGATGATAGGAATAAGAGGAAAGGATGACAATGAGACACATCTGCAACAAGATAGCGACAAGATGCATGAATATGATGAAACCTGGACTGAAATTGAAAAATCTACTTGTCAGGGATTCTACTGTATTTTTTAAATATGAAAAGAAATCTTTTTATTCAAAAATTAAGATTTCTTTATCAGTCTGTCAGTCAAATCGAATTACAGATTTTCTTGGCATTTTTGTCTTTCTTTTTTTTTTAATTAGCAAACGATTTAAAACTTTTTCAAAATAACTTTTCAAAATTATGCTTTTCAGAAATGTGTAGGAAGAGGGTTAACCTATAATTGCTGGAGTTTCAGGCTTTGAAGTCCAAGAAAATGAGTTTAAAAAATGAAAAATTAAAACAAGATGTAATCTGAAATACAAAATAATCTCAGTAGAAAATGTAATATGTCCAGAAAATTCTATGGTTATTCAATTTTTTTTTATAATTCATTGGTATAAAATGATGACTAAAAAAATTATTTTTATAGTTATTTATAAAATGGTAAATAATAAATATTGCATTGAAGATGGTTTACATATTTGATATTTTTTAAATGTTTGAATAAAAAGATTTTATTTCACGTTTATTTCTTTGTAAAATAGTAAATAATACATTCTTATAAAACGTAAATTTTTTTTACAATTTTGAAAATAAACATGGCCGATGTAATGGCGATTATCTAGGCATAGCTTAGATGTGGCACAAGACCAAAAGTGTGGGACAATCGAGTGATGATCAAACTCACTACTCAGTCGTAATTGTTCTAACGAGAATAACTTGCTAACCATTCCACCATGTCGACGAGCCCAAAATGGCAGAGTTGTCAAAAATGGCCTAAATGCCCAAAATGGCCGAGGTGCTCGAAATAGCCGTGGTGCACAAAATGGTTTATACGATCACAATGGCCGAGGTGCTCAAAATGGCCGAGGTGCTCAAAAATGGCTGAGGTGCCCAAAATGGTCGAGGTGCCCAAGACAGTCTATATGCCCAAGATGACTGAGGTGTCCAAAATGGCCGTGGTGCCTAAAATGGCCTTGATGCCCAAAATCGCCGAGGTGCCCAAAATGGCCGAGGTGCCCAAAATCGTCTACATGCCCAAAGTGGTAGAAGTGCTCAAAATGGCCAAGGTACCCAAAATGGTCGAGGTGCTCAAAATGGCCACGGTGCCCAAAATGGTCGAGGTGCTCAAAATGGCCGAGGTGCCCAAAATAGTCTAGATGCCCAAAATGGTCACGATGCCCAAAATGGTCGAGGTGTCCAAAATGGCTGTGGTGCCTAAAATGGCCTTGATGCCCAAAATGGCCTTGATGCCCAAAATGGCCGAGTTGCCGAAAATGGCCGAGTTGCCCAAAATGGCCTAAATGCTCAAAATGGCCGAGGTGCTCAAAATGGTCTACATGCCCAAAGTGGTAGAGGTGCCCAAAATGTCCGAGGTACCCAAAATGGTCAAGGTGTGAGTGCTTAAAATGGCCAAGGTGCCCTAAATGGCCGAGTTACTCAAAATGGCCGAGGTGCCCAAAATGGTCTAGATGCCCAAAATGACTGAGGTGTCCAAAATGGCCGTGGTGACTAAAATGGTCTAGATGCCCAAAATGGTCTAGGTGCCCAAAATGGTCACGATGCCCAAAATGGTCGAGGTGCCCAAAATGGCTGTGGTGCCTAAAATGGCCTTGATGCCCAAAATGGCCTTGATGCCCAAAATGGCCGAGTTGCCCAAAATGGCCGAGTTGCCCAAAATGGCCTAAATGCTCAAAATGGCCGAGGTGCCCAAAATGGTCTACATGCCCAAAGTGGTAGAGGTGCCCAAAATGGCCGAGGTACCCAAAATGGTCAAGGTGCCCAAAATGGCCGAGTGCTTAAAATGGCCAAGGTGCCCTAAATGGCCGAGTTACTCAAAATGGCCGAGGTGCCCAAAATGGTCTAGATGCCCAAAATGACTGAGGTGTCCAAAATGGCCGTGGTGACTAAAATGGTCTAGATGCCCAAAATGGTCTAGGTGCCCAAAATGGTCACGATGCCCAAAATGGTCGAGGTGCCCAAAATGGCTGTGGTGCCTAAAATGGCCTTGATGCCCAAAATGGCATTGATGCCCAAATGGCCGAGTTGCCCAAAATGGCCGAGTTGCCGAAAATGGCCTAAATGCCCAAAATGGCCGAGGTGCCCAAAATGGTCTACATGCCCAAAGTGGTAGAGGTGCCCAAAATGGCCGAGGTGCCCAAAATGGCCAAGGTGCCCAAAATGGCCGAGTTACTCAAAATGGCCGAGGTGCCCAAAATGGTCTAGATGCCCAAAATGACTGAGGTTTCAAAAATGGCAGTGGTGCCTAAAATGGGCTAGATGCCAAAAATGGTCACGGTGCCCAAAATTGTCACGGTGCCCAAAATGGTCGAGGTGCCCAAAATGGTCGAGATGCTCAAAATGGTCTAGGTGCCCAAAATGGTCACGATGCCCAAAATGGTCACGATGTCCAAAATGGTCGAGGTGCCCAAAATGGTCGAGATGCTCAAAATGGCCAAGTTACTCAAAATGGCCGGGGTGCCCAAAATGACCACAGTGAATGACAAAATCGAAAAAAAGCTATATAACGTGTTTCGTCCTCTGCAAGTTAATCGGATTATGTTCTTATTGATGGAATTATATATATGAAGCAGGAGGGTGAAATAAAACTCTAGCAATCCGTTATATTATGCACCGATGGGGAACCTTTGAATATGTAGGGACGCCAAATTTTAAAAAATTCTGTCGTCTGACGTGTCTAGACGCGCAACTCTTGTTTATGTTTTTTTAATCGCTGTTATGTTAACGTTGTTGTCTGAAGAAGGAGTTTTAAAGGCCGAAACGACGCATTGCATTTTTTTTTTCATTTTTGCATTGATTTTAAATCATAAAAATACTTGGTGATTTTCCAAGAGAAAAAAAAAACATCATTTTGCAAATGATCATATTGATAATGGAGGGATAATAACCAAGGTACTTGAACCAGATATACACCTAAAACTCCCCAATCTCCATTGAGCTTTTTCTTTGAGGAAAAGTGGGAGTTACGGTGGAGTAATGGATAGCGGCTCGGATTAAGAAATCGGAGAGCCGAGTTCGAATTCCAGTCGAATCCATAGGATTGTTAAATCGCTTACGTGCTTTGGGAAAGCTATGGGTATACAGCAGGATAGACCAGGTTCTATAGCTTTGGATGGCATCTGGTCTACCGCAGAAAGAAATGCAGGAAAACAAAATCTGCGGGAAATAAATCTGCCGCACCAGTCATGTATAGAAAGAGACATGATCGCCTAAGCGAACTGACTGACTGAATTCAAGTTGTTTGGCTTGCTATAGCGAGACACGTGGAAAAGAGTCGAATCTTTAAATATTGACCATGATAGCGACCACACCTTGTAAATCTTACACTGCTTGACACAAGGGCAAACGCTGGGCGTTTCTCTACGCCCCCATCTAGTTATTCTATTTTTAACCCTCTGTTTATTTATTTATTTTTTTTTACCTTGGAGGTATTATTAATTGAGATCCACATTCAACCATTACTACGCCACCGCCACCCGATCCTGACCCTTGCAAGGTGGGTGAGGGAGTTTGGCGGGAGGTTGTATAGATAAAAGTTCACCCCTTTTTCTCAATTAGTCGCGTCGTCCTCCACCGATAATGCCGAAACGAGCACCCCCACACCCTCTGCCACCGGTGGGTGAGGAAGAATGTATATTTGTAGCCCATTTTTTTTTGTTGCTCTGTTATAGTACGGATTTATTCAACAAGTGCGCCACTCTCATGACGTTTTCCTCTCTCTCTCTCTCACTCTCTTTCTCTTTCTATCTCCCTCCCTCTCCCTATCGTTTTCACTCACTAGCTCTTGCCCTTTGTCCCCCTCACGCTCTTTCACTCTCTCTCTCACTCCTGCTTCTTTCTCTCTCACCCTCTCGCTCTCTCTCCCACTCCATCTCTCTCTCTCTTTCTCTCTATCACTCCCTCTCTATCGTTCCCTCTCTCTTCCTCTCTCTTTGTCTCTCTCTTTCTCTCTATCCTCCGTCTCTATCGTTCCCTCTCTCTTCCTCTCTCTTTGTCTCTCTCTTTCTCTCTATCACTCCCTCTCTATCGTTCCCTCTCTCTTCCTCTCTCTTTGTCTCTCTCTTTCTCTCTATCACTCCCTCTCTATCGTTCCCTCTCTCTTCCTCTCTCTTTGTCTCTCTCTTTCTCTCTATCACTCCCTCTCTATCGTTCCCTCTCTCTTCCTCTCTCTTTGTCTCTCTCTTTCTCTCTATCACTCCCTCTCTATCGTTCCCTCTCTCTTCCTCTCTCTTTGTCTCTCTCTTTCTCTCTATCACTCCCTCTCTATCGTTCCCTCTCTCTTCCTCTCACTTCCCTCCTTTCTCTCTCGATTGACAAAGATATGCAAGTAGTGTAACGTTTATAGGTGCAAAAAGCGAAGTTGTTGAAACGAGTTCTAATTCCGGCCTAATCTTTTGCATTCACTTTCACACAAATGCCCGTTGGAAAGGTATGGATCGATTTCTTCTCCATCTAGTTATGGGTTAAACAGCAGAATAGATGGATTTGCGAAATCTTGGGTGGATTCTTTTGAATTCTAAACAGTGGAGACTCCACAAGAATTCATAGAAATTTATAAATAATTAAAAAAATAAATGTGGAAAGCCATGATCTCCTGTGTTATGAAACATTTCTTTGTGGTTAAGGAAAAAAAAAACTTGCATAAAGCAACTTTTCTATCTGTCTATATTTCTGAGATGAGGTATTATGTACATTATTCGGACTATTGTCCTCATCTTTGTCGCCGTATTTATTACAACGTTTCGGCCTTCTTCAGGTGGTTGGAATGTCGAACTGATTCGCCCACTAGTTTCACGTTCAATGGATGTCAGATATCTCCTGTTAATTCCCCTCTGAAAGTTCTCCACTGCCTTAACCGGGTATTGAACTCACACTCTTTGGGTCCTGTCACTGGATCTAAGTAACGCCTTTATCCACTGTGCCATATGTCCTTGAGGAGACCTTTATAGGAATTTTCAGGGTATTATAAATCTAACGTTTCAAGCAATCATTTTTACCAGTGCTCATATTGCAATTTTTGCTGTTATCATATCATATTTTTTACAAGAGCTCATATTGCAACTTTTCTCTGACACTCCTTATTACTGGTTCCCATAATGTATTTATTTCTATGCTTGGTCGGCTCAGGAGATTTTTGTGGCCTAGAATATGTGCTGATTCCTTAAGTTTACGAATTTTCCAATGGTGTTTCTTGTCTATGATCTCAACCTGATCCCACAAAGTTGCAACATGAGCACTGGTAAAAAACATAAAATGATAACAGCAAAAATTGAAATATCAGCAATGGTAAAAATGGTTGCTGAAGACATTAGGTTTATAATACCCAGAAATCCATACAAGGACCCATGGCACAGTGGATAAAGGCGTTGGTTAAATCCATTGACAGGACACAAAGAGTGTGAGTTCAATACCCAGTTAAGGCAGTGGAGAACTTTCAGATGGAAAATTAACAGGAGATAACTAGCATCCATTAACTAGAACAATCTACCCTAGTGAGCGAAATAAAGGGTTCAGTTCAACATTCCAACCACCTGAAGAAGGCCAAAGCGTACAACGGCCGAAACGTTGTAATAAATATGGTGACAAAGATGAGGACAATAGTCTGAATAATGTAAATAATTTACGCTCTTCTGTATTCATTTTATATGCCGTGTTCTTAGAGGACGTGGGTAATCATGACTCCACAGCTTCCTATCCGTTGTAGCTATAAACAATATTTGTCTCAATACTACCCTTCCTTGTGTAGTGTTATTCCTCTGCCCGTCTTGCCTTCAATATCTCCCGTGGGTGTCAAATTCTCCAAACTATCTTTCCTCATTATATGTCACAGAAATTCCAAGTTTTTTTTTCTGGAGTAAAAGTGTCTTTTTGTCTTCATCTACCTTAAAACTTCCTTATTGTTCAATTGCTCCATCCATGGTATTCTTTGTAGTCTTCCCTAGGACTACGTTTCTGTTGCTTCAAGTCTCCTCTTCAGATGTGAGGAAATTATCGAGCATTCACTGCCATATCGGAGGACTGACATTACATTCAGCATTCTTTTCTTGGCTTTTGTCGCAATTTTTCGGTTTCTTACTATAACATTTTTAAAACATTTCACAGCAAGCAAGTTTGTCAAGTAAATCTCAGGTTCTCGCAGAGTAAAAGATTACAGCTTTCAGGAGGTTACAATCTTAGTCTCAATTCCAATTCCCTATAAACGCTTTTACAGTTTTCTCTAAACCTACAAAATTCCAGAGTCTTTGGATTTTTATCAAGAGTCTCTGAATGCAGTTTCATTCCTTTTGATGCGTTCATTACCAGTACAGCCGGATTTTTTTCTTTACACGACAAGCAACGTTTGGACAAAGTCGTATATTTTTTTGTAGATTTATATATTTTTATACTTGAAAAAATTGTTTAAATATAACTTAAAAAAACAGACATTCTGTTGAAACATTGTTTAACATTGTCAAACTCTGTTTTTTTTTCTTTATCTTTTCTTAAATCGCGCTCTTCGCTTAACCGTTGAAAAATATTGGAAGAATTATTTATTATTATTGTTGTTTTATTTCATTTGATTTCTGGAGTATACTCATTCCTTTCCGGGTCCCGACCAGAGATCTAAGGTCAGAAATGGCATCATGACATTTTCCACTGAGCAGTTTTCAAAAAAAGAAAATCACGCATATTTTACATAGATAAAACCCTTCGTAAGTTGTGGACTGTACTTGTGAGTACAATTCTTTTGTATTTCTTTAAGGCATGGGCTATCAGGGATTCCTCCAAGAGTTTATTGGAATCTTTTCCAATCAATCCGAGGGCTCCAACTACAACTGGAATTACTGATGTCCTCATACGCCACATTTTTGAGATTTCGATTTCAAGGTCCTTGTATTTTAATTGTTTTTTGAAGATGTTCAAAGATACGTTGCAGTCTAATTGATTCTGAAGCTACGAAATTCCAGAGTCTTTGGATTTTATCAAGATTCTGTGAATGCAGGCCTATTTAATACATACCTATATTATTTACATATATAAATATCTACCCTCAACACAATGTCATATGGCTCTTAAGAAGTTTTTTGTTTTGTTGTGAGGTGAGTTTATGACACTGTTTTTGCGTTTGGATTTTCAGTAAAGGTTTTTAGGTACCTCCCCCCCCTCCAAAAAAAAAGATACCTAAGGTTTAAAATGAATTTTAAAACTGAAAAAAATTCTTAAAGCTTTTATTTCAGTTTTACTTCCAAGCTAATCGATTAGATTCAATATTTCCAATAATCAAAATACTTTGCAGTATTTCAAATCGAATTTAAATTTATTGAAATGATTTTTTTAAATTGGTAAAATCGACCATATTGACAAATCTCTCAACACAGCTTAATTTCCTTTATTTAAAAGTCTTTCAAAAATAAAATATACTTTTCTGATTATATGAAGAAAATCAACTGATTTAAATTTTGATTAATGCGAATTAAAACAAATATTACTTTTAGTTTAAAAATATATCTGAAAAACATTTCTAACGCGGAGGCGTATATTCTAATGAGGTGTTGACAGATTTATCGATAGCTTAATGTTTTGCATTTTTAAGGGGCACATAACTATAAAAATTACTTGACGAATACAACGTAAACGCCTTTTATATTATTTAGTTACCGAGTAATCTTAAATCTTTTCGAAAATATTTATGTAATCTAATATTTTACTGAACTTTAGGTACTTTAGTTTTATAGTCTTACTTAAGAAGACAATTGTTGATGAAATCCTAGAAAATTAACAATAAATTATAAATGCTCTTATTTTCTACACTATTTACATTATTCGGATTATTGTCCTCATCTTTGTCGCCATATTTATTACAACGTTTCGGCCTTTCAGTATCTGTCTATATTTCTGAGATGGGGCATTATGTACATTATTTACATTATTCGGACTATTGTCCTCATCTGTGTCGCCATATTTAATACAACGTTTCGGCCTTTCAGTATCTGTCTATATTTCTGAGATGAGGTATTATGTACACTATTTATATTATTCGGACTATTGTCCTCATCATTGTCGCCATATTTAATACAACGTTTCGGCCTTTCAGTATCTGTCTATATTTCTGAGATGAGGTATTATGTACACTATTTATATTATTCGGACTATTGTCCTCATCTCTATCGCCATATTTATTACAACGTTTCGGCCGTTGTACGCTTCGGCCTTCTTCAGATGGTTGGAATGTCGAACTGAACCCTTTATTTCGCTCACTGGGGTAGACTGTTCTCGTTCCACGTGCCATGTTTAATGGATGTCAGTTATCAGTTATCTCCTGTTAATTCCCCTCACGAAGTTCTTAACCAGATATTGAACTCGCACTCTTTGGGTCCTGTCACTGAATCTAACTAACGCCTTTATCCACTGTGCCATGTGTCTGTGTATGAATTTCTGGGTATTATAAACCTAATGTCTTCAGCAACCATTTTTACCATTGCTGATATTTCAATTTTTGCTGTTATCATTACATGATTTTACCAGAGCTCATATTGCAATTTTTATTGTTATTATCGCTTTTCTCTGGCACTCCTTATTACTGGTTCTTATATTGTATTCATTTCTATGCTTGGTCGGCTCAGGAGATTTTTTGTGGCCTAGCATATGTGCCGATTCCTTAAGTTTACGAAATCTCCAATGGTGTTCTTTGTCTATGATCTCAACCTGATCCCACACACGGCAGTGATCTCCCATTTCTCTCCATATATGGTCAGCCATGCCTGATTTTTCCACTTCCCCTCGTGTTACAGCTTTCTGGTGTTCTTGAAGCCTTACCTTAAGGGGGCGGCCTGTCTCTCCTTTATATTTCTTTCCGCAGCTGCACAGGATAGCATACCTACAGTCTTTAATCATGTTCTCCTCTATCGGTTGTCTTACTCGGGAGAGATATCTGCGAAGTGTCGTCCAGCTCTTATTTTCTGATAATACTGTGTATGGGTTACCGTATTTATAAAGACGGGAACGTTTATACACCGGCAATAAGAATTATTTTTTAAAAAGAGGTTCTCTGAAATGAAATAAGCTTTTCCATTTATGATAAGTAAATATAGTTTTTGCATAATAACATTATCCCCTAAACGCTACAAATTAACACGGAGTTTTAAATGATTTAAAACATTATAAATTATTATTAAAAAAATTTAAAAATGAAAGCTATACTTGCATTCATCGAATTTTTTTTCTTAAGACACTATTGTCCATAATGTGTCATTTTCATACAAACAATTAAAAGCTATTCTAATTAAATATTTGTATTGCATCTATCAATGTACGGTTCCGTTCAGATTTTCCGT